TTTTATTTTAAAATTCTGTTTCAGATGCTTCTCCACTGCATATACCACACTTCCCTTCATACTTGAAGGGTCAAATCCTTAAGAGTCTACCACATTTGAGTGCTATTTTTAGTAAAAGCTCTTGTTCTTCTATAAGAAGTATCTCTCTGGTTTCAGGCAGAAATGTCAATGCATGTTATTTCCATTGTATGATTTTCAGCTGCAGAGTGAAATTTGGCATGATGCACTGATAGCTTATGACCAGTGTGCACCACTCTCATGTACTTGTTGATTTCACACATTTGGTAGAGATGGTGATTAAGTATTCCATGAAAATGGTCATGCAGGGATCATAAAACTGATTTCTGGGATGGTCTCTCTCTCTCTCTCTTTTTTTTTTGGCCTATTTTGAGACCAGGTTTCCTTTGTAGTCCAGCTAGCCTGGAATTCACTATGTAGACCAGGCTAGCCTTGAAGTCACAGAGATCTGCTTGCCTCTGCCTCCTGAGTGCTGGGACTAAAGGCTTGTACCACAACGCCTGACTTAATCATTTTTTCTTTTGTTTGCTCAGGAGTTTCTGGAAACCTTTTATGTATTCAGGTACAGGACATCTGGCCTGCTGGGTAACATTGGCAGCATTCTTAATAATAGTTTATCATCTTTAGTGAGAAATGTAACAGCTTTCCGCTTATGTCCTGCCCTTCCAGTTTGACATCCTATGGATATATTCCACTGAGCTGGTTGGGAAGTCATAACTGATCACCAAGTTCACACCTTTAAAATCAATCCCTCTTTCCAGCAAGGCTATACAAATAAGAACCCAGATTTTTCCTGTTCTGAAGCTCTGGACGGTATTATCTCTCTGTTGCTTTGTTCTTTTTTTCTTTCTTTCTTTCTTTTTTTTTTTTTTGAGACTGGGTCTCCCTGTAGCCTCAGCTAGCTTGGAACTCACTGTGTAGACCAGGCTGGCCTTGAACTCACAGAGATCCGCCTGCCTCTGCCTCCCAAGTGCTGGGACTAAAGGCGGGTGTTATCATGCCCAGCTGCTGTGTTTTTTCTGCATGAATAACATCCACATTAACACCTTCATGTATGAGCTCATGCAAAAGTTCTTTAGCCCTTTCAATGGACTGAACAAAAACAAGACCAGGTGGGTTGAAACCCGTTTTAGCAAGTTCTCTCATAGCCAGAGGTTTTCCAGTCTCAGACCCAACAAAGAGAAGCTCTTGTTCTACAGTCTCTAGTGCAGAATTCCTTGTTCCAATGGATACGGTAACGACATTGTCCAAGTTGAGTTTGCACCACTGTTCAACATCATATGCAAATATTGCACTGAATATAGCTCTTCTGAACTTGTGAGATGTGCAGGCCAGGAAAATGGAAGCTAGGTGGTCTTTAAACCCAGTTTGTCCGTCTTCAAACAGTCTGATTCGTCTACTATCAGCCACTCAACACTTGTTAGGTCTATTCCTGGTGAATCCTGCTTTAAGAAATAGATTAATCAATTTGGGGTGGTCACAAGAATATCAGAGTCAGATGATTTGAGCCAAAATTTCATGGCTGCTATTGCAGCTTTGTGGATCATATGTATTCTGAATCCTATTCCCTCAAGTATTTTTTTTAATTCTTGGTGAATCTGGCTGGGGAGTTCTTGTGTTGGGGAATAGTCAGGGCTCTAAAACCTTTATTTGTGGGTTGTTTCAATTGTATTAAAATGGGAATGCTAAAAGCCAGCGTCTTTCCAAATCTGGTAGAAGCAGAAGCCAGAAGTTCCCAACCATGCAGCCTAACTGGAATGGCTTACATTTAAATTGGCAGTCAAGAATTGATTTTAGGGGGCTGGAGAGCTAGCTCAGCAGTTAAGAACACTGACTGTTCATGCAGAAGACCTGGGTTCAAATCCGAGCACCCACATGGCAGCTAACAACTGTCCATAACTCTAGTCCCAGGGGATCCGACACAGCCTCTTCTTCTGTCCTCCACAGGCACTGCATGACATGGGTGCACTTACCTACATGTAGGCATAACACTCATACACATAAAAAATAAAAATAAGCTGGGCATGGTGGTGCACACCTTTAATCCCAGCACTTGGGAGGCAGAGGCAGGCAGATCTCTGTGAGTTCAAGG